CCAGGCCCCCCCAGCCCCGCGGTACAGGCGGGGGGCAGTGCACAGCCCCAATCCCCTGCTTGCTGGTAGGGAAGAAGCTGGTGCTGAGCGAAGGGAAAAGTGGCCCCTTGCCACCCCATGGCCGGCACTCCCTGCTGCAGGCGCTTGCAGCTCATGCAGGGCTGTCTGGAGCAGGCACAGGCAGTCCCAGGTGGGCTGTGAGTGGCTACAGCATGGGGCACTGGCCAAACAGCAAGCAAGGGGCCACTATTCCCCATACTCAGCACCAGCTTATAACTCAGCCCCGCTGCCAGCCTGGCAGTGGGGCTGGGTTACAAGGTGGTGCTGAGTGCAGGGTGGGGGGGGAATGCAGCCCCTTGCCCGTCCCATGCCTGGTGTCCCACGCTGTAGCCACTCACAGCCCACTTGGGACTGCCTGTGCCTGCTCCGGACAGCCCCGTATGGGCTGCGAGTGCCTGCAGCAGGGAGCGCCAGGCATGGGGCGGGTGAGGGGCTGCTTTTCTCCGTGCAGGGAAGCAGCCCAGGGAAAAGCTGAGTGCGGGGGGGGAAAGTGGCCCCGCCGCCGCCCCATGGCCGGCACTTCCTGATGCAGCCGCTTGCAGCCCACATGGGTCTGTCTGGAGCAGGCACAGGCAGCCTCACACAGGCTGCAAGCAGCTGCAGCATGGGCCGCTTCCCCCACCACGCTCCTTCCCTGCCTGGGGCCCCCCCCCCCCACTTACCTGAGGTTCCAGCACTGGGCAGCCACGTGCTCCCAGGTCAGAAGCCCCACGCTGGGGCTTCCAGCTGAGGGGCGGGGCCAGGTAGGCCCCACTGTTGTGAGAGCCCCCGGGGTCCTACTGTCCTTGCTTCCTGTCATTTTTGACAGGAACCAAGGGCAGAGAAATGTTAATTTTCTACATTTTTTAGGGGCCCTGCGGGCCGGATAGAATGGCTTGCAGGCCGAATCTGGCCTGCGGGCTGTATTTTGCCCACCCCTGCTCTAAGCCTATTCCAGAAACACAACATCAGTCCCAGAGGACTAAAAATCTACAGTCCTCTGGTTACTACACACAACTCCAAATATGCTTTACAGCTATGCAGGAGAACTTCAGAGAAACTTAGAAATCATCTTTTTCACCTAACCTACTCAAAAAGAGAACATCTCAAGAAGGAAATCACCATATACTATAACAATTTAAAGAGAAAAATCCAAACATTTTCCCAAACATTATACAATGCATACAAAGAGACAACGTGAGATTTTCTACAACATGCATCCAACATAAAAAGAAGAAATGTAACCAATTACTCCAGGAACAACTTTCCCAACCACAAAACAACCATCAGAGAAACAACACCAACACTGTACAACATTTCAACCTTGAACTCGATGAAAAAGAAAGAAGCAACCAACCTTCAAATATCATCAATCTCTCCATGCACACACTTATCAAACCTGAAAAATCTGTCCTCTCTAAAGGCCTGAATTTCTGTCTGGAAAAATACCCTAATAAAATACTACAATGTGGAGAACTAGAAGAATTCTTCCAACAACTCCACCTCAAGGAATACTTCCACAACCAAAATTAATCCACTTCCAACAACACATCATCATTTGATAACATCAAGGAAAAGATCAACCCCCCAAAATAATCAGATTGGACATCTCACACTGGGCAAAATTCTAACCTTGACTGCTATGTTGCCTGCTTCAAGGAAAGAATGAACAACGAAATAATCAACAGCACATGCCACCATAACAACCTCTGCCCCTCAGAGAGAAGGACCATAGAAGCTCTAAGATCTAACCACCAAATGGTAATAAAACCAGCAGATAAAGGAGGAGCTATAGTTATCCTTAATCATGAAGACTACGTAAAAGAAGCCAACAGACAACTCTCTGACACCACCTACTACAAAAAAACTAGAGGAAGATCTTGCTCCCCTTTTCACCTTAAAACTCAAAACTACCATCAAATCATTTCCATCTTAACTACAAGAAAACCTACAGAATGTGATCACCCCACTACCTAGTACAGGGATTTTTTACATGCTCCCCAGAATCCACAAGCAAGGGAATCCAGGCAGACCTATTGCATCCAACCATGGAACCCTAACTGAAGAAATATCAGATTTAATCAAATCAGTCCTAAAACCTCTTGTCACCCAAAGAACGAGTTTTGTCCAAGACACAACAGACTTTCTGTGAAAACTTAAAAACACAAACCCCCTTCCTAGCAACCCCCTCCTAGCCACCATTGATATTACCAGCTTATATACCAACATCCCATGCTAGGATGGCATCCAAGCCTGCCTTTTATATCTACAAGAGCAAGATTACAGACCCAAAGATATTACTGAACTTATACACTTCATCCTCACACACAACAACTTTACTTTCAATAACCAACACTTCCTCCAGACCATGGCCACAGCTATGGGCTCCAAAATATAATATGCCATAATATACCAACCTTTTAGTGAGCCACCTGGAAGAAGAATTCCTCAAGGACTGCACCATCAAGCCCTTGCTATACTTAAGATATATCAATAACATCTTCATCATTTGGACTGAATACTTGCAATCTCTGATTGATTTCCCATCAGAAATTCAACAATCATCACCCCTCCATCAGACTATCTTTTGCATACTCCAGCACCAACATTTCCTTTTTAGACACTATGATCACTATCCAGAATGATGAAATACAGATCACCATATACAAGAAACCCATGAACCAACACACATATCTGCACAGAACCAGCCTAAACACACCAAGAATATACAGCCAAGCCCGCCGATACCACCAAATTTGCAGAGGAGAAAACCCGTGATCATCACCTCACAAATCTCTAAAGGGCTTTCACTCAACAAGGACAATCCTCCAGAGAGACAGATCACACTTTTGAGAGAGCCACCTAGATACCACATGAAGAATTGCTGCGGTACAGAAGGAAAAACCTCATGAATTGCACACCACTACTTATGACTGTAAAGAGGTTTCCTCACCTCTTCAGAAAAGAACAGAGAACCGGGAAATGACTTACCTGAATTGCTGGAGATGCAGCAGCTGCCAGAATGCTGCTTTGTTAGCCACTGGTTCTTCCTGATTGGCGTTCCCCAAGCGGTGAGCCCTATTTCCGATCTGGAGCTGGGTGGAGAGGGGGCAAGAGAGAGAGAGAGCCAGCATTCCCACCTGCTTCTCCCTGAACACCATGGAGAAACCCCAGGAATGAGGAAGAAGACTGGATTACAGCCTTGGAGCTTAGAGGAGCTCAAACAATGAGAGAGGTACTTGGAGGCATCTGCCAGCTGAGGAGACAAAGCCAGGACTACACCACAGAGGCTACGAGTCTCATGACTGACGGGAAGGTTCTTTTTTCTTTATACCTTTTTTTTTTTAATTAAAATATGTTTTGATGCAGGGGCTCCGGTGGAATGCCAAACCTGAGAAGGGGAAAGGAAACAAAGGTCTCATTGCTGACCAATCTGACTAAGAATGTAGAGGAGGTAGGAAATAGCTTAGCTGCAATTATACTTTAATTCTTTTGCTAATTAATTTAAGTTGTGCTTCTCAAAAAGGGGAGGATATTGAGCAGAGTCAAGCCCTGACTCTGGGAAATTTGGGCTAGAAAGGGCAGAAGAAAACGGTTTTCCAAGTCCAGTGTAAGTAAATACTTACCTGAGATGAGTTGCTTTGAAGCCATCATTGCACTCTACAGTTCTGGGGTGTGCACATCCTCACGGGGAGGGTAGTGATTGTTTAGTTCATAGTGAAACCTAGAAGAGAAACCAGAATTAAAGAACAGAGGTTGAACAGGACTATTCTCAAAGATACAACAATTGTCCACCGTATATTAACATCTGGTTGGTAAATGGCTGGGGTATAAGGGGAGGTCAGAGCCCCAGGAGGAAGAAGTCAAAGATCAGTATAATTAACCTCATGCAGAGAAACACCTCCCAAGGACTATAAATTCCATCAAGTCATGGCAGAAGAACCGGGTTACCAGTGCTGGTTATTTATACAGGGTCGAAGAGCTCTTCCTCATGGCATCAACTCAGAGGACATCCATTCATCAGGGTCCACAATCTTATAGGGTGCAATTTCGACAATGACATATCATCCCTCCCTGGAATCTATATGGAAAATCCTCAAACAATTGCAACCCATACTAGAATAAGATCTAATTCTTAAGGAGATCTTCCCAGAACCATCCATCTTAGCCTTTAAACAAGCACCAAACCTTGCCAACCTCATCACCAGAAGCAAACTTCCTATGGCTCAAAACACACCAAATGGATCCAGACCATGCTGGGATAAGAAATGTAAAACCTGCTAACATATCTCTACCACCCCCACAATAACTATATCTCATAACAGAACCATCAACATTCCTGGATCTTACACCTGCACCTCCAGGAATATAGTATATCTCATCCAATGCACTAAATGCCCTGATGGAAAATATGTAGGAAAAACCAAGCAACTGCATACCAGAATGAATGCACACTGAAAATCCATCAAAGACAAGAATACCCAATTACCTGTGGGGCCAAATTTCTCACAAGATAACCTCTCTCTCCAGTTTCTCAGTTCTAATCCTCACAGGGAATTTACAAAACACCTTTCACAGCACTGCACTTCATCAACCTACTAGATACAAAAAAATCACGGACTAAATATAGAAATTGGATTTATGCCACATTATAACCTGCCTAACATCTGATACCCCTGATAAACTCTCTACTACTTACCAGCTATTTTCTTATCACCAGGTCTACATTCCCCTTCCTTTCCCCACCTGTTTCTCACCCACTGACTGCTTCAATTTGCATTTTCTCTGACTGACATTCCTGCATACTGGCCTCTGGCTTCTATTCTATTCTATCCAGGAAGAGCACCGGCCAACTGCAGATGCTTCCTCAGCCTGATGAAGGGTGTTTGTACCCAAAAGCTTGAAAGAAGATTTTTTCCAGCTATTTGAGTTGGTCTAATAAAAGATATTAGATTTACCCAAAGAACCTTGTCTAGCGAGGTGACAGTCAGTGTTTTCCAGAATAGTAAAAAAAACAAAAAGGGGGGGGTTCAGATTGCATCCAGTTATAGTTTTGAGACAGAGGAAAACCTGTTGGTTGTGGCTAAACAGGGAGAAAGAACAGTGTAGGATGTAACTTAAGGTCAGGAGTAGGATGAATTGGAAGATGTTTTGCCAGGGTCAGTCATAAGATTGCTGCCCATCTATTTGATCCATCTTTTCTCATTCTAGTCATGTTTAGAAGTCCTTAGCAGAACTTTTCTGTCCCTGGTATATTTCATTCCTCCCTGGATAGGGACTTGCATCAGACCCCTCTAGCTTCAAGGTAAAACAGATTAATTTTGGTTTCTCATATATTTGTAAGGGCACCAAACCACATAAGACATTTTCCTTCCCTGATATTTTTCTGATTTGAGGATTGCCCGTTGACTTTCTTTGATCCTGTTAAAAGAAAGACAACCATCTCAGCTAATTGGCCCTTCAGGCTACTATAGCGAAGGCACAGTCAATTCCATAGTCAACAGCATGCAAGGGAACAATTTGGCTGACTATAAAATAAACTTCTGCTTCTCCAGCCATAGCAAGGCAGGTGAACCACTCTGCCACCCCACCCCACTCTGCCCTTTGGGCTTAACAAAACAAAGGAATTTAGAGGGACTGTAACAAATTTGACAGGTTTATTTGCCTGGTGGTTTTTTTTGAATCTGCCTACCTACAATTGGATGAAATTGTAAGAGCATGAAGACAAGTACTGTCATATGAAAAAGCTGAAAGAAAACCTCACGTAATAGGACCTCCACCCCCAAGACTAACTATGACCTTGAGAATCTCCCACCCTGTAAAAAGGGAGCAAGTGAAGATATAAATATGAGGGAGCCATGACACTGTAACACAATCCTACACTGAAAGATAGCTGAACCACATGACCTAAAAGGTCTTTATGTCTAGGACTACATTTTAATTTCAGTTATAATGGAGTAAAATTGGAAGTAACCCTACTGATCTTATTTTTAGGTGAAGATACTTTGGATTTACACTGGTGAGAATGAAGTCAGAAGCTGATTGCCAGTGCTTATGGGTGAAATTCTGTTCAAAATGAGTGGTTGGATCAGGGTTGATGACTTCATTCTGACTAAAGGACATTCATACAATTCAGATATTCCAGTTTGCTTCTTTTAAGCATGAGTTTTGCTGATATTTAAATTGGTAATCATATGTCCAGAACTATTCAATAGCTCAGTGCAGGTAGCTTAGGTGGAGAATAGGTCATTTTCCAAGTTAGAGATATGAAAGATTTTAGTATGAGCTGGTTTTATGCAATTCCTACTCTCACATATCAATGTTAAATTGATGTCTTTGGGTTCTTGAGCAAGGGATGAAAACCACTGTAATACATGAATACATTTGTTTTTAATGATTTCCATTTGTTTTCTTCCTGAACTTTTAATTTTTAGTTATTGCACCATGCCTTGTGAAGAAACAAAGTCTTCATAAAGTAAATGACTGTGGAATTCTTTTGAATAATATTATGCATTTTTAAAGATTAAATATATGCACCAGATGATTAATCAGATGCAGATTTAATTTCAGGTTGTTGTGGTTGGTTAAATGTCATGTGTTTTTTTCTGACTGAAAACTCACACAAAGTCCCAAGATACTTTTTTCCCAAACAAACATGAACTGTCTTAAGTTCAAGTTGTTCAGATTTTTAATTATATCACACTACAGAGCTATAAAGAAAAAAATGAGTCCATTGGATAACAACAGGAAGAGTGTTACTATACAAGAAATATAAAGGTCCTTCAGCAGGCACTGTCATCCTGACACACAATACCCCTACTATTCCATCTGGGATTCTCTACCACATAAAATCTGACTGGAAATCATGAGAATTTATATTAAAATCTGCCAGGGTTACCCTCATGATATTGAGGCCCTTGAAGCAATTTCTCTTATCAATGATTTACCATTGTTTTTAGAATCAAGAAATTGTTCTAACAACATGGTATTATGTTTATAAGGGGCACATCTACACGAGATGCTGACTGCGCACTAGCCTGGTATTACTGTGCAGTAGTGTTGTGTGGCAAAAACCGTGATGCTACACTACTGCACAGTAGTATCAGGCTACTGTGCAGTAGAGTCACAAAAAAAGCATTCAGTAGCACTACTGCGAAAGAACTTCGGTTACTGTGCACTTATTTAGTACTTGTTTATACAAGTGTTAAATAAATGTGCAGTGATGACTGCAGTAGCATCTTGTGTAGACATAGCCAAGGAGTAGGAAACTAGATTCTAGGTCATTAGCTAAGCTCTTTTATTTTGATCTTTGTTCAGCTATAAAAAAGGGGAAGATTATTTTCATTTTCTTGGGGCAGCAGAAGGATAAGAAGGCTTTTGTGAATGCTTCTAGTCAAAGCCACAGTAAAGGTGTGATTTAAAAAAATAGTGTAGAGCATCTTCTAGTAGAAGTCCTAAAAGTAGCTAATATATTATGACTCCATATTCAGAGCATCAATATTCAGAGAATTGAATATACTTAGCCACTAGATGGCAATGCAATGTGATACTGGAGCTGGTGGTTTTGGAGTTATTTAAGGAGACATTGGAGGTAGGACTGCTAGAGTCAGAAGTGAGAAGCCATATTATAATTCATCAGTCCCAGGAGACAGTGTTCACTAAAGCATTGGCTATGGTTACAGACATCTCCATTAAGAATCTAATTCAGCATAAGTCATCTTTGACTTTCCATCCTAGGTTTGTTTCCAACATTTGCCACCTACAGATGTCATATGTACAATAAATGTAATATCTGATACATCCTGCTTTTGCAGTGATGGATGTAATGGTCTACTACATCAATAGTACTAAACTATGCTCGTTGTCTTACACAACTTTACAAGATTCAAAGTTAGCTGAGCTCAATACTTGATCTATCTGAGGTACCTATAATAGGAAGTGAAAGCAGTATGTAGGAGTACTCATGTAACCTAGTAAAGTACTGTGAATCTTCTAACAAGAGAACTTTCACATTGTCCTGTGCCAAACCCTATGTATGGGCGAAGGGGAAGTTCCGGAAGAAAAGGGGCTATGAGGGCTGTATTCAATTTTGCCTATTTGAACATAAAACCCCCACTTTCTTATGATCAAAAAGTATTTCACTCAGCAAACAAATGTGTACTAAGCTGTATTTTTCTGGACATATGTTGAGTATAGTAATAATAGAGCAGAATATTCAACTTGGATAACTTGGTAAAGAGGCAACCAGCTTGGATTTGCAGAATCTCCAGGAATATCTTTACATGGGATTTTATTCCTCAAAACCCACTGTCATTTTGTGCAATCTTATCCATTCCAAAGGCAAATTATATGCTGTACTGTTTTATGAGGTCAAGGGATAAAGAATCTCTGGCACTGATTTAACATAATCTGCAGAATGAGTGACTCTCTTAGAAGCAGAAGTACTGTAGAATCATTCCAAGCTTTCCTTTAATAAGGGCTTTAATTCCTTTAATAAGGGGCTTTGGGAGTGCATCTGTGAAGTAATCTTCTTCTCCATAAAACTGGCAAGTTTTCAGTTCCAGCAACTGGAGGCATTTTTGTCTACAGCTAGAGACTGACGTGAATCAAAACTATGGATTTAAAATTCATTTAATCTGTCTCTCTCTCATACTAGCACGTGTACATACCAGCCTGCAGTCAGAGCTCCACGTGTTGAATGTTCAACATTGGAATGGACGTGGC